GATAGGGGAGATTAGTGTAAGGACCTAAAAGATGGGGGTAGGGAGCAGATGTGTTCTTTTTCATACCTCCATTTGATTTGCCAGTCTGACCTCTGTACAAACCAGATGGATTCTGGAGAATGACTGCCATGTAGGCCAGTCTGACCTCTGTACAAACCAGATGGATTCTAGAGGATGACTGTCACGTAGGCCACTGTAAATGGTTGAAAGTAGGAGCCCCGATCAGTTGCTATGCTAGACGTAGTATCGTTGCTAGGCCTCAAGTACATGGTATACAGCTACTGATTTGGCAAATGCCTTTTCCATTCTGGTTAGAAAAGGGGATCAGACACCGTTCACATTTGAATGAAATGAACAATATATATTTAATTTTGTCCTAGGGCTGCTAACTCTCCTGTACTCTCTCATAGTCCAAAGAGAACTGTACTGATTGAACATCCCCCAGAATATGACATCTATCCATTACATGGATGACATCCTGCTGATTGGACAAAACAAGCAAGAGATGGTTAGTGTGCTGGAAGCACTGGTAATACACAGGTCAAGCCTATGAAGGTTCAGCCATTGCATTTTTTCAGGGGTGCAGCGATCAGGGGCATGCACGCTATCTGTCCCAAAATATAGCTGCTGCATTGGAAGGAAGCCTGGTAGGCCCCTTAGAGTTCTGCAGGCAACATTTCACACCTAGGAATACTTATTGCTCTGCCTTGTGTTGGATAATATGGAAGGCTACCAGTGTTGCCTGAGGCCCAAAGCAGGAAATAGCTCTGCAGCAGGTCCAGGCTGTGCTGCAAGCAGCCCTGCAGCTCGGGCCACAAGATCAGCAGACCTGATGGTGCAGGAAGCATCCGTGGTGGGAAAAGATGCAGTGTGGAACAAGCCCCAGTGGGACAATCACATCATAAGACTAGGATTCCAGAGCAAAGCCCCACCATCTGTGGCAGAGAATTATCATTTTTTAGAAATAGCATGTTACTGAGCTCTGGTAGACACAGCATGCTTGACCATGAGTACCAGGTAAGCATGTGTCCAGAACTGCTCATTATAAACTAAGCTTAGTCAGAGCCACCAAGACATAAAGTTGTATGAGCTCAGCAGCAGTCCATTAGAAGACAAAAATGGAACACCTGACATTGAGCCCAATAAAGACCGAGGGCACAAATAAGCTGTATGAGCAGGTAGCACAGACCTCCATGCACCTACCATATTGCATCAGTGCCATTCCTCCCACTTGCACCTACAGCAGTAGGAGAGGGGAGGTACAACCAGCTGAAGGAAGACAATGCCCAAGCTTAGTTTACCAATGGGTAGGTTGGCGTGGTTCAAATTGTGGGTATGAGATGCCAATGGACCGTGGTTGAATTATAGGCATGTAAAGGGGCAGTCTTGAAAGGCAGTGGTGAGGGAAAAATCTTCCCAATGGGCAGATCTGTAAGCATCATTAGGTGAGATTCCTGAACAGTGGTCAATGGCTGGCCCTCTGGTCAGGGTGTGAAAGAAAAATGGCTACATCAAAGGCAAGGTCTGGCTGGGGTAAAGGTACATACATGGGTGGACATGAGGGCATGTAAAGGGGCAGTCTTGAAAGGCAGTGGTGAGGTGAAAATCTTCCCAATGGGCAGATATGTAAGCATCATTTTATGTAGAAGTGGCTTTAGGTGAGATTCCTGAGCAGTGGTCAATGGCTGGCCCTCTGGTCAGGGTGTGGAAGAAAAATGGGTGGTGCATCAGAGACAAGGTCTGGCTGGGGTAAAGGTACATGGGTAGACATGAGGAGTGGGTAAATTTTTTTTAAATAACATGCTCATGTCCACCAGAAAGTGTCTACCATAGAAGAGGCACTGAATAACCAAGTGGACACCATGATTCCATCAATTGACATTAGCCAGCCTGGAAGACACAATGGGCACATAGATGGAATGGCTTCTGGCAGAGTAAGAGGCTATGAATGAGCCCAACAGATGAACTCCCACTTACTAAAGCTGACCTACTTATTGTAGAATGTCCAACCTGTCAGCAACAGAGACTAATGCTGTGCCCACAGTATGGCACTATTCCTTAGAAGAACAGGCCACTTGGTGTCAACTTGACTACATTGGATCCCTTTGATCCTAGAAAGGCCAGCAATTCATCCTTAACAGGGACACCTATTCTGGTATCCCCACATCCCAGAGCCACAAAGCCTCAGCAGCACCACTATATGGCTATTAATGGAATGACTAATTCACAAGCATCAATTCCATTCAGCAGTGTTCACCCAGGGGACCTACTTCATAGCAAATGAGGAGAGGGCCCAACCAGAGGAGCCACTGGTCATATTACATACATGCAATCCAAAAGTATATAGTCTCATAGATCACTAAAAGGCCTACCAAAGACCAGCTCAAATGCAACATGCTATGGGGATGCCGTGTATACCTAGAATCACAAACCTTTATATGAGTCCAAGAACCCAGAGAGGAATGACTGCAATTATCATCACTGCCAGTGATCGACTGAAGTACTCTGCTTTCCATTCCTGAAACTCTGGGCTCTGCGGCATTGAAAGTATTTGTCACCAAAGCGGGCACACTCTTGCTAGAGAACACAGCAAAAGTTCTACTGAACCACCCACTATGACTGTCATCAAGGCACTTGGTAATTTTTCTTTTTAAATATATTTTATTGATTTCAGAGAAGGGAGAGGGAGAGAGAGATAGAAACATCAATGATGAGAATCATTGATTGGTTGCCTCCTGCACATCTCCAACCCGGGTCAAGCCCATAACCCTGGCATGTGCCTTTGACCGAAATCGAACTTGGGACCCTTCAGTCCATAGGCCAACGCTCTATCCACTGAGCCAAACCAGCTAGGGCAAGGCACTTTGTACTTCTTATGTCCAGGGACCAGCAGGCTAGTAGAGCAGTCACCCTCCTCGCTAGTATAATTGACTTTGACCAGGAGTGGGGGGACTGGAGAAATATGTACAGAACACAGGTGGTCCATTTGGTGCCTATTGGTATTCCTTTGCTCCACTACAACTGTGAATAGATATAAGTAGTAACCCAGGCTGAGAAGGGTATGATTTCCAAGGGTTCAGATACCTCAGGAACAAAGGTTTGGGTCATACCATTAGCTAAGCCAGCAAGACCTGCTAAGGAGACAGGATGATGGAAGACAGAGTCGATGAGTACTAGTTTTGGCTCTTCAGTGACAGGGGATACCAATCATCAGACCAAACTCTTTCTTCTGAGAGGTACATGGAAATTATAGAAGAATTGCTCCCCAAACTTGTAAGAAATGGATCTGGATGGTGCAACCATAGAAATTGTCTGCTCAGAATTCCTACAAGAGAACTGGCTGCAGAAGCAAAGCGAACTGAGTCCAGGCTGCACCCCTTTGGATTCACCACTGCATTCACTGCAAGGCCGTGCTTCCCTGGGGCTGCGTCCTGCCACTGACAGCACAGTGAGGGTACTGGTGCCGGCCCATTCTCGCACATCGGAATCTGTTGACAAGCTACTTTGGCCAGAGGACATCCCACCAGCCTGGAACACACATTTTTAGAACTGCACGGCAGTCTGAGGCTCTTCCAACCCAGTCCCCCTTCCTTCCTGCTCTCCTGTCATAGGAGTCAAGCCTAGGGTACAGACGGCAGCTCTCCATGTCAACTCCTGCTCCCTCCTCTTCATCCTTCAATTCCCTTTAACAAACCTCTTGGCTGTCTTATCTCGTTTAGGCATATTTTTAAAGGACTCAAACACACGCTCATGTTATGGATCAGTATTTGCATACATGCTCATGTTTATGGATTAGCATTTGCATATTTTCTTTGAAACCACACCCAAACTAATAGCAGTATAGGTTCACAAGAGAACTTGGTTCACCTTGAAAGTTAAGTAATTTGAAGCCTACAATAGAGCATAAGGATTAAAAGATCTCTTAGCCTTATGAAAGATGATGAAATATTTAAGATATCCAAGGAAGCATAAAAAATAATAGAATGAACACAGAGCTTAAGACATAAACCTTGCCATGAGCTGAAGTCTCTTGTGTATCCCACCTTAACTGCATCCTCCTCCCACTCTCCACATTTTGATCTTTACATCCCTGTGCATTTCTTCATATTTATACTAGAAATATATGTATCCTTAAATAACATTTTTCCTTTGGATTTTTAAATGTCTTCTCCACTTAAAACTCCCTAAAATTTAGGTTTATATATACACGTATATACTAGAGGCTTGGTGCACGAAATTCATGCACAGTGGGGGAGGGGGGGGAGGGGTGTCCCTCAGCCCGGCCTGCACTCTTTCCAATACGGGATCCCTCAGGGGATGTCCGACTGCCGGTTTAGGCCCAATCCCGCAGTCGGACATCCCTCTCGAAATCCGGGACCACTGGCTCCTAACCACTCACCTGCCTGCCTGATCGCCCCTAACCACTCTGCCTGCTTGATCGCCCCTAACTGCCTCTGCCTGCCAGCCTGATCACCCCTAACCACCTTTGCCTGGCGGCCTGATCGCCACCAACTC